TTTTCATAAATCTAAATTATTGCCTTGTTTTAAAATAAAGGATAGGGGAAGCTTCTAGGGTGGGGCTGATCATATTAACTTATTAAGATTCCTTTGGGTCAGTTTCTCATTCTCCAGTGACCTTCCACATAGTAACCCAATCTGGGGTACTAAGAGCCCCATTGCTTGTCAGTCCCTCCCTAGACTTCCTGTGGGGATTTTCTACTGATTTTCAGGGAAATCTGCTAAAGAAGGCCAAAGCTCTGTTACTGCCATGGGGACCAACTACAAAATCTCTGAGACCTTTTACTGTCCTCTTTGAACACATCCAAAGTTGGCATGATAGAGCACAAGAGGTGTTTAGCACAAGGATGGCCCAGCTCTTGCCATTCTTAATAATCATTGACTCCTGCCACATCATCTCCAAAGAGAATCTGCCAAAATATAACAGTTCACCTAGTTTCTGGCCGTAAGTGGTTTCTGTTTTTTCTTTAAGGGTCATTGTTGGTGCATGTCTCTGTAACCTCTTGTGAAAGGGGGTGAAACCTTTTCCCATCAGGGTGTATTTTAGTACTACTTGTTCCCAAGGAGCACACCTGCAATTGATGGCCTGATTGGTGAGGAAGTCCCCAGTGGAGGATTAACAGCATCCAGGCTACCGTTCAGGCAGCCGAACCATGAACTCTTGGAACCACTTCCCAGCATTCAGCCTACAACCACCTCCCCGGTTCCTTCCAGGCAGTGAAATGGAGAACTTTAATTGCCTTGTTGATCAAACAGTTTGGTCACCATGTTCGTTGCTAAGTCTCATGGACTTTGCTCAAATCTTACTAAACAATGTGTGAGGCTGTCATACTTATTCTACTAAAAAGACACCTGTCAATTTTCCATCCTCATCAGCAAAACAGCGAGGAACTACAATGGTTATGAAATTGCACTATATTTGCTAGCCAACAAATCAGCCTGCATACTTTTATGGACATTTTGAAGAAAGGAGTCTCCTGGGTCAGAAATAAAACAAGTCTATTATTCATAGCAGTAGCAGTGGCCAACATGAATGCTTATTTTGTTTCCTCAGGCCCCATCTCCCACAGAGTGAGGTGGCCTAGGTGATACACAGTGTGTTATGTTGCAGAAATGAGCGCTTAGCTTGGGGAATCTGAATCTTTTCTAACAGTCAGGAAGCATGTCTGCCATTGGCTCTGCAGGGGGAGACAATATCAGGGCTGCAAGCAAACTTTTCTTGTGTTCTTCCAAGGCTTTTTGTAAAATATCAACAGCTTTGAGAAGATTGTGTATCATGAAGGGCAATTAATGTCTTCCTCAGAAGACTTGCAGAAACACGAGAGACCCATGGAGAATGATCTCCCATCGTCAGTATACTTAGACCTCTCTTGCCTGATTTGATCTTGTGATTCCCTCTTTGTGAGGGCATTGTCTTGTAATGGAGGAAGCATTCAGGCCCCAGGAAAGATTTTGAGGAAAAGTGATTATCTTTATTTATTTGACAGAGAGCCAGAGAGAGCACAAGCAGGGGAAGGGGAGGGGCAGAGGGAGGTGGAGAAGGAGAAGCAGGCTTCCCACCAAGCAAGGAGCCCGATGTGGGACTCGAACCCAGAACCCTGGGATCATGGCCTGAGCGGAAGGCAGACGCTTAACCAGCTGAGCCACCCAGGCTCCCCAGGAATTACAAGTATTAATAAACTATAAAGTGTTTCCTCCTCTTGCAGTACCTCCTTCATTGTTATTTTATAACCATAAAATTGAAAGCTTGAAAGATTCCTGAAAACAGTCACAGGAAGCATGGTGGAGGATAAAGTTTTTCTTCCTGAGAAGGTTGAGTACACCTCTTTTTGTTCTGAATAGCAATTTTAATTGCCATAATAATTTAAAAAATCATTTCAATGAAAATTTAAAATGCTATGGAAAAACTGAAAGAACTGTGCCACGGTACAGCCACATACCCACCACCTAAATTTTACTCTATTTGATTTATTACCTATCTTTCTAAATCTCTATCTCTCTATTCATTTACCAATAAATTTTTTTTGATGCATTTCAAAGTAAACTGCGGGATTCAATACATTTCACAACTAAACACTGCAGGATACGTATAATTGATGAGAGAATTCAATATTTTCAGTTTTTTCTAAGGGATAATGTTCACATAGAGTGAAATGCCCACATAACAAGTATGCAATCTGATGAACCCTTGGGAAGTGCATATTCTTGTGTCACCCCAAATCCTATCAAAAAATAGAATATTAACCTCATCCCTGGAAGAGGACTCATGTACTTTTGCATGAAACTGATCCTCATCTTCACCCCCTAGAGGAAACTGCTGTAGTGATTTTTTTAAACAGTAGATTTGTTTTGTCTGTTTTAGAACTTCATATAACTGTAATTACACAGTATAGAGTATTTTGTGTAAGTTTCCTTTCACTCAGAAAAACATTTTTGAGATGTATCTACCCTGTGTTAATTGGTGGTAGATTCCTTTTTATTCAGGATTAGTATTCTATTGTATGGATTTGCCAAAATTTTTTACCGTTCTCCTCTTGATGAATACTTGGGCTATTTCCAATATGTAGCTATGACTAAATCTGCTACTAATATCATTAGACAAGTCTTACTGTGTCTCCTATTTAAAAAATGTGTTGTGCCTGGCTCTGTGGAGTGAAAATGGTTGTAAAATTTCTTAACTGTTATGTCATTTAAGATCTGGCTTATCTTATATATATGTTTATTCCTGTCCTAAAGTCAAATCTTATTTGGTATTTTCCTCCCAATACACTGGATGTGTCAGATTTTTTTTACGGGTTTACTTTTCTTGGCTTTTCTCAGCGACTATAAAAATGTGTCTTCAGGGTTTTTTTTTTTGTTTTGTTTTTTGTTTTTTTGTTCGTCCCATCATCACTCATGAGATACTATCTGATAGACATCCTGCCTGGGTTTGGTGCTTTGTCAAATTAGATGCTGTTTCTTATGTCAGAAATATCTGGTTTATTAGTATACGACACATGAACATCATTCACAGACACATACCATTATCCAGTGTGATGAGAACATTACACAGGGTCCCTTAAAGTACAGAGAAGGGAGTGCAATAAGGCTGTGACAGGGAAGGAGAAGCTTCTGGGGGAAGTTGGTTTTTAAATAAATTCTTGAATTTAGAACTCAGAAAAATCATTTGTATGGCATTTTTATGTCATACTTTAGTAAACTGATATCTAGAGAGGTTCCCTTCTTTGTCTAAGAGAAGGTTAGGTAGAAATTAAAAACCCATCTCCTGAGTTTCAATCCGGTGTTCTCCCTTCTGAAATGTGGCATTTCAGTACATTTGCATAAGCAGTAACAGCCTACCATGTACTAGGCCTGGAGCCATGTTTTGGAAATTTTAAAAATGAGTAAGATACAGTTCTTGTCATCTATAAGCCTCAGTTAGTGGTGTTAAGTACACACACACACACACACACACACACACACGTGTAAGTACATGTATATCCCACCTTCTCAATAATAGGAGCAAAACCCCATGTGAACAAAGAGGACACAACATCTAAAGCCCTAGGATGCTAATAACATGATTTTATAGAGTGTTTTCAGTGTTTTTTCAAATCACAGCTTTAGGATCACCAACAGGCCTCTTCCCCTTCTCCCCTCTGGAACATATTGAATCAAATCTTCTCAAGGAAAGATCATAAAAATCTCAGATTTCCTTTCTAGTTTATTCCTGGTACCCTAATGCTCTTTCCCACAATACAATGTAAGCTCCTTGAGGACAGACAGTTTGTGTCCTCAAGTTTAGTCCTGTTCCTGCAGTGCCTTGGGGCTTAATAAACACTGGAATTATCAACGGTTATTTCAATAAAATGCCATCTGGTCAACACGAGACTCCAGGCAAACTTCTTCAGAGCGAGAGAATGAGTGAGTGAGAGCACGGAGGAGATGTGAGGTCTGCCCTCCTGCAGGCACATTATCTCAGCGCAGGCAAGGGAAAGTGAGATGGTGGTGTTCACATGACGTTTTTCACATCCTCCTTTCCCTGTAGCCCGAAAGCTTGTCTGAAGTCTTGGATTTCTCCACTCAAATGAGAGAAAGCACAAAAGTTGCCTTATTTTTTTCTGACAGGTACTCAGGCTTTACTCACTTTTATTTTCTCATTTCACTTCTCTACTTCAGACACACATTGGTTTGCACCTAGGATTGGCCCCACTCCTATTTCCTTTATTTTAAAATACTCCTAGTTCTCTTCATTGTTATTCTCTTTGAAAGCATAGTCCCCCCACTCCATTCCAGCAGACTCCAGAAAGTTCTTCCTGACTTTCACAGTGCAACATTGAGAGAAATCTCTTAATTCTCTTTTTCCCCATTAAAGAAGTACTGATTTTAACAGGCTGCGTTTTGAATGTAATATGCAACAAAAGTCAGCAATGATATATCTGAGTTAAATTTTTGATTTATTATCTAAGATGACTTGTTTTTAATCTTTAGAAGGTATATACCCAACAGATTTTCCTAAAACATGTCAACAAACCCAAAGGATCTTGTGTCTTACTGCTGTTCTCCTTATTTATTTCTGCTATCCTTCTTACTATGTATTCTATGCATCTTGTGAATATATAGTTTCTGTCAGTTCTCTTGTCCAAAATTCATATGGCAAGGTCATCTGTTTCAGCACCCAGGTCAGATATCCCCTTAGGAAGGGTCTGGTCACAGTGGTTTCTTCGCTAAAATATTTTTTTGTGAAGCTGTATTTTTTGGTTATCTATTGAGATCATGTGTTTGCCTCTATTTTTGAATTGTCTGTCTTATTTCTTGGCCATCAAAAGCATCTTTCAGGGTAAGGATGCTATCTGTTTTATATCTGCCACTCTCCTTTAAATGTAAAATCCTAATCACAACGGGCAGGTATGTAGATTGAAATGATTTCCAGAACTTTCCTTTTGGACCCATAAGATCCTAAAATCTTAGTGGAATTTGAATGAGTTGATTTTGCTTCAATGTTTTTTTCTTCATAGGAAAAAGAAGACCATTTCGAATCTGTTCAACTGAAATCCTCAAGATCCCCGAATATATGAAAAGACAGTGCTGTAGCCTTCAGACTAATGAACACAGAAACCTGATCTCTAGTTCTACAGGACTGTAGCTTAGATCCTGTCTTCATATCCAGCACGTTGGTGATCTCACAGAGGGCCATGCCGCTGAAAAGGGAAGGAGGTTGAAACGTTTGATTGCCTTATCACATGTTCAAGTATTTTGCCAAAAATACAAAAGCAAATGGCTTGGGTCTCAACGGAAGATGAAACTCAACTCAGGAAGAGATTAATCTGTAAATAGACATAACTGAAAACCGAGGTTAAGCCCACCAGCGCACTGCTGATGCATGCCATATAATTAATGGGTAACTTTTATTCTTTATAACTTCTACATAAAAAGTGTGCTTTGGAGGGCAGATATGAGCATATGCATTGTGATTCTATTTATGTCTTTTCTTTGTTTATAGTTTGGGGGAAGATTTGAAAAATTTTAAGGTATAGTTTTTTTCCCATTATTTATTTTCCTGACCTTAAAACATCTTTTCTATTAAAAAATGGTGAACAAAGACAATAAATTTTTCATTTTTCCATAGGGTCTTTCTTGATTTCAGAAGCCTAAGTAAGCAGTAACCTTTCAGGAAGAATAAACATGTAAACATGTGTTTGGGTTATCTAAACTTATATTTGCCTTTGGAATTTCATCCTTGTTGGAACTGGTAAGAAGGGCTTGACTGAAAGACTTGAAGGAATATTAAAAAAAAAAAAGGCAAAGAGAAGCCAGACTTTCCATTAAAACAAATAAGCTGATGGTATTATGGAAATCAAATGGTTTAAGACCATTTATATAATGCTGGAAGTATAATTTCAAATGAGTGAGAAGTCTTGTTTATCAGATGACATGCAAAACCATGAAGAAGAAAGTGGGATGGCTTGTGTATAAAGACACATAACTGTGCAAAGGTATTAGGATAATTTCATGGTTCACAGAAAATGGCAGTGGGACACTGGCCCTATATCAAGCATCAAAGTTACATGGTTATTTTTCTGCTAAGACATTGAGGATCATGACTTCCATAGAAGTTTTTCTTTTTGAGTAAATAAGGAAGGAACTCAATTTTGGGAAACTGCATTTAATTGTATTTATAATAAGAATGTGGTTGTACCATAAGTAATTAGGAAATACGTGTTGTTCTTACTCAAAATTGATCCAGGTAATTGTGATACTTCCTCTGATGGATGGGTTACAAGAATTAGCACGACTTGAATATTATCTGTTGAAAGAAGTTTGAATGAAGTTGGCTCTGACTAATTGTGTGTAAACCTTTATTGTTTTAGAACTGGGAAAGAGGGGAGTTTACTGACCACTGATGATCTAAGGTGCTCTGGTTTGTTTTCAATAAACAGTAATCTTTGTAGATCTTAATCTAGAATTTTTTTAAAAAGACTGGTGATTGCCTGAGAGGCAGGCCATAGGGGCAGGGTTTGTGTAAGATTTGCCCCAAGCCTTTCAAGGAAGTATGACTTGTAACTTTTGATTCAGCAGGTGATGTCTTTATTTTGGTGGAAAGTGGGAGAAAAATAAATAATTGCAGTTACTCGACTGGTAGGTGAAACCCTGAACCATCCTGTTATCGTTGGATGAATGTTCGTTTTTGTGTACATCTTTGCCGTGGGATTCATCAGTATAGGTGAGGTTGCCGTGATTTTGTTGTTTGTCGTGAAATTCAGGAAGGACGTCACTTAGCATCAACCTTTTTCACATTCAGTTTCTTAAATCTTGCTTTTTAATAAGAAATTATTTTGGCATTGCTCACATTTATCCTGGTAACTGTGCTGATGAACCTTTCCCATCTTGATCAAAATTTAAACAGAAGAATGACAATACATGGGAGATGCTTCTTTTCAGAGGAGCCCTGGCAAAGGTGTCCAGGCTGGACAGAGCTAGGAGGTTCCACATAGTCACTTGTCACCTCTCTTCATCTTCAGCTGTGTTCCATGTGTATGTACCAAGCCATAGAGATAATTGGGATTTGCTCCCAGGTAGCTTCTTTCTTCTCCTGTCACCAGACTAAAATCTCTGACATGTCAAAAAATGCCTTAAATTTTAATGAACTCTCTGAAAATGTAGTTTGTATTGAAGAATTTATTTTATTTCTAATTTTAGATATATAAAATAGATTTTGTCAGCTCAGTCCCATCTTTGGAAAGGAGCTGCCTTTCCCCCTTTGGATCCCAGTGATCTGTCATTTTATTCCAAGCACTGAGGGAGTATGAAAGAAATAATATCATGAGGAGAATATTCAGACCAATCTTGGCTATAAAATTCACTGTAATTTTATGTCTTGCCTTTGTGGAGCTTAGTGGAATGTTGAAGTCATAAACAAATTAATCATGTTTCTGTGACTTTTAATAGACATTTGTTGTTTTTTTCCCCTCATAAATGGTAGGAGAAGTTCTAGATTATTTTTCTAAAAGGCACAGGTTTTGAAGCCTTAAATACTACATTAAGCCCACTCTCGTCTATAATATCTCCTAGCACTCTGTCAAAACATATTTAAATCGCTTCTCCACTGGATGAGACAATGTCTTCTATGGGTAAATTACATCATGCCATTTAACAATGTTGAGCAATTTGATATGTGTCCACTTGATTTAAAAGACTGAATTTTATTCCTGTTGACTTTTCCCCTTTTTGGTTACTAGTAAATCAAGTCCTTTCCAGGATTAAAAATGTTTCATAGTATTTTTGTGTAGAGTTTTGTGATTATTTTCTTCCCAAGGAGAAAAGGTGGTTTAAAGGGTGATGTGGAGGAATTGCTTGGCTCCAGTCATTTATGAACTGGAGTCTCTAGGTTCCCAGGTGATGGGTCATGATTGACTGATTCTTCAAGACAGATTGGGACAACTGTCTTTTGACATCTATTAGTAGAACTACTTCATGTGGCTCTTGGTGATTCCTAATGAAAGGTTTATGTGCAGATCATTTCTCTCTTCCTCATGAAAGTAAATTTCCTGGAAGTTGGAGTGGGAAGATGACTTCACTGGCAAGTTTAAAGTCAGTGTATTGCTCACATTTATCTTTTTTAAATAGAAGATATGTAGAGTAGGTCTTCCTCTTGAGAGAAAATATCCTCACATATCTTATCATAACGATGGATGTTAGCTCGATTTACAGGACGAAGTCCTAAATTCAGGTTGCCCTAAAGATGTCCCATGGTGAGTAAACTTTAAAACAACAACAAAAAAAGAACCCCCAAATCAAAAAAAAAAAAAACAGCAAAAAAACAAAAACAAAAACAAAACAAAAAAACAACCCAACATCTGATGCATTCATTGAATGTTAAATGGATTTCACCCTCACATTGACTGGCTAGAGATGACACTCTTGCTGGATTTTATTTCTTTTAGCTTAACATTTTCAGATGAGTTCCTTTTAGGATCATAAATGAAGGAAGTAAAGCTTGAAGATGGGGACAAATATTTGAAAACTGGTAACACTATTGTAGTGGATATTGATATTACCATCTCAATTGATACTACTATTGTAGTTGTCTAGATCAGAGAGACCAGCAAACTTATGCTGTAAAGGACCAAGTAGTAAATATTTTCAGCCTTGCAGGGCATGTGGTCTCTTTTGCAAGTCTGTAGTATGAAAGCAGTCACAGACAATAATGTAAACCAATGGGCGTGGCTACATGCCAATAAAATTTTATTTATATACATGGAAATTTGAGTGTCATTTAAATTTCACTTGTCATGACATATTCTTCTTTGATTCTTTCCTCAACTATTGCAAAATGTGGAAGCATTCTTGGTTCACAGGCCTTCTGAAGATGGTGCTGGACTAGGATTTGGCCTGCGAGCTGTGGTTTGGTGACCATTAGTTTTAATCACCGCCACCCACAAACAAAATGATGCAGAAGAATCTGATTTGGCCTGTTAGGTGCTTAGCACCTCAAAAAGTTTCTCAAGTCTCTAGAGATGTGCAGGAAGGAAATAACCCATCACGCTCCCTTGATGATGTAATCACCTACACAAAGGCACTGCGTTTCTCTTGTAGTTTTGGGACTCAGTTCTAGATATTGACTAGCAAATGATAAAGCTAGAGTATGTGAGTAGGTTCAAATTCAACCAGCAAGATTGATTTACACACCTTTTCTTATTGGGATTTGTGTAATAGTTATTGCTAAGATAAGTGGATTTGGAGATACTACTCAGTCTTACATATAGATCCGTTTAAAGTAACCGTACTATCCCCAAGTAGGGGCTGTTGATGTATACAAGTAGTTTCAGCATAAAATCTTGAATCCCAGCTTGAATCTTGACCAGAGAGGCTCACCTGATCCATCTGCCTGCGTCCAGGCAAGCACACACCTCCATCCACACAAGTTTACCAAATCCTATTTTAAGACCTACTGAGCTACAAAAGACGGGATTCCTTTAATGATGGTGGCTCGAGAAATGGACCTCTAATTTCCTTGAATAAAATGTCCCAGTTCAGCTTTTAATCTGTTGGAATTTTCATCTTATTAATGAGTCTTAGAAGAAGAGCTCTAAAATAGCTTGTGGATATCGGTAGATTCTGTGTGGAGCGGAGCAATTCTTCCTTTATCTCAGATGGCTGCTTTCAGATTACATTGTTTGGGTGAAGTAAAAGAGTTAAACCAGTGGGAGTTCTATAAACCTCAACTTTGTGTCACAAGGCAGGGGCGATCATGGCCTTCTTCACAGGTTTGGACCTTTGTTATTAGAGCTATGGCCGTTAGAATCCACACTGCCATTCCATGTTCCTGGCACCTCACTTTTCTTGGCTTCTCCAGGCTTATAGCGAAGAGCTCTGGGACCTGAAACTATCGTGATGGCTAAGTGAGGAAAGCAGGGGCTAGCCCAGGGAAAGTGGAGGAGAAGGTTGTAAAAGTGCACTGTCTGAATCACATTCTTTATCAGCTTCTTTCTTAATCTGTCCCTTGTGTGGTCTGCCAACCAGCTTGCCCCACAACTTGAAAACGGGGACTTTTTTATATTACCATGATGAATCTGAGTGGGCAAGAGGATCTAGTAGTATTTAAACTGGAGAGGACCCAGAGCGCTTCAGGGACTGTAAACACTCTGAATGCCAACGGTTGTCACCCATAGCATTAGGTTCTGATATGTTAATAAGTAGGGCAGATCGTCCTGCTTGACCTCCTGAAACTCAGGAACAGTTTGCAAAGAAGGATCGGCTCAACCAGTTTTATATTCTGGAAGGATGAAATGTTCTTACCAGAGTTAAAAAAAAAAAAAATCAAAACCTATTTGTTCGAAATAGCTTATGTAAAAATTGTTTTACAGTTGCTGTTTTTCCATACATACTCTGAATGTTTTTCCAAAAAATTATTTCTAGAGATCACATGTTAAGTCAGGCTCTTTCCAATAGGAAACAAGGCTTAGGGCAAAGAAGGAGAGAATGATGAGAACTGTCAGTTACTCTGTGTCCAGTGTGCAGGCGGAGTGTGAAAGGTACAGTGGCCCGTAGGTCAAAACCCTCCTCCCCAG